AAGGGTGAAAACAAAGCAAATAAGCGGTTGCCCAAACGGTGATATGAAAATGCTATTCCATCCTGTGGATTGGTGAAGGTGAGCATTCACACGAAAACTATGTGGCTTGTGGAAGATGTACTGAAATCTTTTTTTTATTCTAATTCATTTCGACGAGATAGCGCAACCAAACGCATTCCAAATGAGGAGCAGTTTCAACACACCCAACCGCAATACGGTGGTCGATAAAGACAAGCAAACTAAACGAAGCAAAGAATAATGGATGAAAGGTGACTAGGTAAAATTGATTAAACGCCAATCACTGGAACTGAGCCAAAAAGAAACAACTACAGCTAGTTGCGAGACAGAATCGTGAAGCTTTCTTAGTTGCAGTCTTTTGAATAATAGGGCCATTAGGCTATTTCCAGCAGCTAACGATGCAACAACGAAGGTAAAAATTGTAGCGCAGACAGAGTTCCATCGCAAGTGGCAGTAATCGGTCCTTAATGGATGTCATAGCATAAAATTAAACGATAGATGTCCTTAAACAGCGTTCATTTGCAGTGAATTTCCAGAGCTTTGGCGAACTTAGAACTATGGGCGAAAGGTTATTCTATGTTCACACGGTACACAAAGCTTCACAGGCGTTTTCAGTGTCTATAGGGTCAAAAAAAGCTGGAAAGGAAATACTCAAGAAGTTTTAAAAGAGGGTCACTTAACTTAAATGACTACCAGCAGTAGATGTTAAATAATCTTGTTCCCGAAACTCATGCTTCAACAAACTGGTTATGCTGGCGGTCTGTGAAATCACGTCGTATGCTGATTTACAACTTCCGCTAGGCAGGCCAAACATGAGAGAGGGACAACTCAATACCACTAGCAGTGTGGTGCACAAATACATGTGCGGATAAGAATACCGTTTTTTAGTAATGGTTACTGCAAGGATGTAACTAACCATAGCAATAACTCTAAAAAATATGCTTTTATCAGATCAGTAAACAGTGGCTGCTATCTCAGCAAGTAAATGAGGCACATTTTAGGATAAGAATTGATGAACCGAAATGGTTTTGATTTTTTAGAGGTTTTTTGCTCCATTAATCTACATTTTGCAGGAAGTTTCCCTCCAATGATGTTAAAAGCTTTCCTTCAATTTGCATACACCGCGCTGCAGTAAAAATGAATGGTCGCAACAAGTCCATTCTAAATACATTTTCAACACAATATGACTTAGAAGCCAATGACAGTGGATGAGCGAAATCTCAATTCTCTGACTGTTGAGACATGGATGCATGAATCGGGAAAAGGATTTGACTGCACATGGACGTCTGCGGACAACGAAGCTAATGCACCTCCCACTAGGCAATTTGATGAGACTAACAGATGAAACAAAGGTGCTACTGACAGTGCAACATCATGAGGTTGGCTGCAACGTACATTGTTTAGTTAAACAAAGCAACAGCGAAGTGCAGCGGATTGCATTGTTGTGGATGAAATTTATCGTCAAAGAAGTCCTTAAGACTTGAGAAACAACTCGGAAGTCTGTTAGTGAATGCAAAAAATCTGGATAAAATTAAATTACCATGAAAGTGGATAGGTAGCAATTCCTTTCGGTAGGCCCCGTAGATGTAGGAGTGCAAGTTTGAGGCGCCAAAAGGATAAGACATTAGAAACCGACTCATTCAATTAGATTAGAAGACAAAAAAATGGATTACGATGCCAAAAAAACGCCCAAGTTTTATAAGTTCCTTGAGAAATAGAATAATGACTAGTGAGACAGGTAGAGAGAATACAAGCACCAAAATTGTTAGACAATCTTTGTTTGGGACAGCTCCGAATAGCTAATCAAACTAACTTTGCTAAAGCACAGGAAGCGCATACTTGAGCTAGAGAGGATGGTTTTCTGAAAGTGCCATGCCCTATTGTTTTGCTTTCTCACGAAAAGACCAAAACCAGGGTCTCAGGGACTAGTTAAAGTTGAGAGGCTGGACAGAAGATTACTAGGTGGAACATGTTCCAGGTGCCAGCACTAGCATGCACAAAACGGTTACGCCTCACTTCAGCGTGAACAAACAAGGGTAACTATTGCCCAAACGAACGACAAGAAAATATGTTTAAAATGCAATATGCAAACGCATTAGACCCAAGGCGTCAGATGAAGTGAATTTCCGGAATTAACTTTTCATAAAAAATCGGCTCGAACATAGTTGTGCCTGATAGATACCAAGTTGAAATATACGCATACACAAACACACACACGCGCCCGCACCAATCGCACCGAATAAGTCTATCAGGTTACCACATGAGCGTGCGATACGGTGCGGTCAAGTGGATAACTGTAAACTCAGTTAATGCCGCATGAAAACGATAAGAGTTTAAGGTAACTTTAAGGTAAATGGTAAAAGGTGTAATCAGTGTTGAGTTCAACGACTATTTTTGGCCACCAGTAGAAAGTTTTCCATCTTCGTACCTCTTGTTAAAGTTGCTATGACACTAACTCTCTACCCTGGATCCCACTAAATCCTACCGACAGTTCAGAGTCTCATCATTCACTGAAAACGAAGTTGAAGCACTGACACAATAAGAAAATACTGCCGAGGTTTGAAAATGATGCAAGTCTCCCTGTGAGGACTTGCTTCAGCGAATACTTAAGCTCCACAAATCATAAAATGGAAAATAGAAACAATTTATACTTTTTAGAATACTTCCTCACGCAACTCTCCACACGACGAAATAGATATGCACACCAAACAAGCATGAAATACGTGTTGGCATATTAATTGGAATTTACTACTCCCTGTATCCGTTTCAATTCCCCAAAAAAAAATTGCATCCGAGGAAATCTTCACATAGTGTTGAAAACGGACAGATCATTGAATTGATCTTGCGGAAACAGATGGGCACGTAAAAACGGAGAATCTAGAGAAAATTCTTCAAAAAGGCACAGCCTAGAAAAGCCACAACTATCTCCACTTATTTCATTCCCAAGGTTTGAGAGTAGGGGGTAAAATAAGAACCAGATACTTGAGCACCAAATGGATGCCAAAGAAGTCAATTTTCGTTGGACTGTAACGGGCAAGGGTGCCATCAACTACGCCATTAAGCCGAATTAGTCGTTGATTATAAGGCGATGTCAGCAAGCATTAGTTGTGAGGAGATGAGGCTTCGAAAAACTTCTGAGGACTGATATATGAGTGGAAACGTCCACGGTAGACTTAATGAGAGAGACTCTTACTGTTACAAATAAAAACATGAAAAAATGTTAATGGTGAATCTGAGGAGACTAGCCCGTAGGTTCTTAATCACGATTCTCCTCCTTTTTGAATTGCCTCAGTGCCCTAGGTTTTAAAACTTGTGGAATGGTGGACAGAATTGGCAGAATCTAAACTTTTAACCAATATTTTGCTCGAGGAGATGTTTAGGACGATCAGAAAATTAAAATAAAGAGGTGCATGCAAAGAGATTAACAAGAGGTCATATGGATAACAGTCACGGCAGTACGCAAGAAAGATATATGCGTGTTTGTGTGTATCACGCAAAACAGTGAGCCATAGAAGCATACTCACTTATTTTAAGTATAAAAATCGGCATGAGATGAGGTAAAAAATGGACCAAAAGAGATACAAGAACTTTACTGTGATTCCTGTTAAATGCAGCTCAAGTATCTCAAACAGAAATTCAACAGGTCATAAAAAAATCGTTTTAAGCCCTACAGACAGGATTGGCATCAGGAA